GCCATTGCAGAGCCTTAAAGGAAGGGAAACAGATTTCAAAAACACAAGAGCGTCCCCCGAAATCTTCTGATTCTGGTTTTTGCCACCTTGCCACTTTCCAAAATACAAACCATATGAGCCAAGGCTCCATCAAAGTCCAAAGCAGGAGGAGATTACTTTTGGAAAGGAAAAAACAGAGAGACCTAAACAGTAAGCAAGCTGTAAAACATACAAAGTCAGACAAAACATTTGGCTGCAGTTTCAAATAGTTCTCTGTCTGAAAGGCTAGAAGGCTTGTAAATCATCGTGCGGATGGCTCTCCTCCCTGCATCCCTTTTGCTAAGAGAGGGCCAAAAACATGGGCTGATTTTCACGCCCCAAAATAAAGACGCACATGACAACCTGCATCTTGGATATATTCGTCTGCATTTTGTAGATTCTCCACACAGCTGGAAAGCTTCACCGAACAACCGACACAAGTACGAAAACAAGACAGTCCCCACCCTTAGGCTTAATAAAATCTAAACACAATTTCCTCCTATATTTTACGTGTTTCCTCCACCACAGACATCCCAGTGTTTCTGACTCTCTCCATTAGTGTGGAATTTGCATGGTCACCACTAAGTGAATGCTTTCATTTGTGGACAGTTTCCTCCTACATTTTACAAGTTTGCAGGAAGGTAATGGAGCTCCGTGCAGTCATGCCAACCTTGTAGGTGGCTATGGACAATGCCGGCTATTCGGCTTAGAAATGGAGATGAGCACCAACCTCCAGAGTTGGACGCAACTGGACTTAATGTCAGGGGAAAACCTTTACCTTTACACAAATGATCAGCGACTTCCAGAAAGGGCAGAGAATTTAATCTATGCTGACGATCGTGCCATCACCGCTCAAGCAGAGAGCTTTGAAATGGTTGGACAGAAGCACAATGGAAGACCTTCTTACATCCACACCAGAGGCACTCCTAATGGTCAGCTTCCCACTCCCAGAGTCGGACACGACTGGACTTAATGTCAAGGGGAAACCTTTACTGTACAAGTTTGAATTAATGAAGTTTTGACACCACTTTAACTGTTGTGGCTCAGCACTGGGACTTCTAGTTTGCTTTGGCAGAGAAGGCTAAAGACATAGTGAAATAATAACTCCCTGGATTGCATAGGTATTGAGCTGTGGATGTTTAAAGTGGTATCAAACTGCAAAGCCCAGAATCCTGCACCCATTCATGGGCCAGAAATGATCTCAAAGTAACCCATTCCAACATACGAGGGTTGAATGAAAAGTAATGCTTGCACCTTTGTAACTCCTCAACAGATGGCAGTACTGGTATGCAGCAAGTACTGGCTTGTTCAGTAGACTCTCCTCTACAGTTCCATTTTGGCATGAAGCCTTAGCATTGAACAGTTGTGTTGTTACAGTGAAAAGTAATGCCGCCACCTTCGTAACTCCTCAACAGATGGCAGTACTGGTATGCGGCAGGTACTGGCTAGTTCAGTAGACTCTCCTCTACAGTTCCATTTTGGCAGGAAGCCTTAGCATTGAACGGTTGTGTTGTTAAAGTGTAAAGTAATGCCTCCACCTTCGTAACTCCTCAACAGATGGCAGTACTGGTATGCGGCAGGTACTGGCTTGTTCAGTAGACTCTCCTCTACAGTTCCATTTTGGTGGGAAGCCTTACCATTGATCGGTTGTGTTGTTAAAGTGCGAAGTACGGAACTCTGCGCAGACGGTCGGTCAATGCGACTTAAGCAACGTGCAGTCATTGAATTCTTGACAGCAGAAGGTGTCACCCCAAAGGAGATTCATCGGAGAATTCAAGCTGTTTATGGGGATTGTATTGATGTGAGTACTGTGCATCATTGGGCGAGTAAGTTTAAAGATGTTGAGGTGGGAACATCTGACTTGCATGACCAACAAAGAGTTGGACGTCCTGTGACAGCAACCACCGAGTTTCACAAGCAAAAGGTTGACAGATTGATTCAGGACAATCATCCTCCATACAGTCCAGACTTAGCACCATCTGACTTCTATCTGTTCCCAATAATGAAAGAAGATCTGCTAGGACATCATTATGCTTCTGATGAAAACGTTGAGAGAACTGTGAGATGCTGGTTGTGGAAACATCTGACTTGCATGACAAACAAAGAGTTGGATGTCCTGTGACAGCAACCACTGAGTCTCACAAGCAAAAGGTTGACAGATTCATTCAGGACAATCATCCTCCAAACAGTCCAGACTTAGCACCGTCTGACTTCCATCTGTTCCTGATAATGAAAGGAGATCTGCTAGGACATCATTATGCTTCTGATGAAGACGCTGAGAGAACTTTGAGACATTGGGTGTGGAAACATTTGACTTGCATGACAAACAAAGAGTTGGATGTCCTGTGACAGCAACCACCGAGTTTCACAAGCAAAAGGTTGACAGATTGATTCAGGACGATCATCGTATCACTCAGGGAGAAATATCAAGCATAATCGGCATTCCACAAGAATGTGTGGGTCACATTATTGCTTTGCTTGGCTATCGGAAGATCTGTGCAAGATGGGTACCCAGGATGAGAGAACTATGAGATGCTGGTTGTGGAAACAGTGTCGACTTCTTCTGTGACGGCTTCAGAAAATTTGTTCATCGTTGGCAGAAATGTATCCAATTGTCTGGTGATTATGTGGAAAAGTGAATCGTTGTCGTTAAAGAGCACATTCTAAGGATTATTTCTGCATTTGATTTATTAAAATATTCTCATCCAAACCCAAGTAACGAAGGTGGAGGCATTACTTTTCATTCAAACCTCATAGTTGAATGAAACACCTTTTTGGGACTCGCAAGTACAGATTCTGAGACTTGAGGAGTCCAAAAATGTCCATTTCCCCAGCTCCACATTCCAGTCGATCCGTGTGTTTTGCACGAGAAACATCCTCCTCTCCATCAGGACCAGGGTTGCCGTTGCAACCAACAACACAAAACAACACACTCAGGATCATTTATTTTGGCTACAGCTGGTCCCGGGTTGTGTTTGGGTGTCTGGAAGTCAGCGGGAACCAAATCCTTCCCCGCTCTCCGCCTCTCCTTTCGCGCAATCCACATTCCATCCCTAAACTGTTGCCTGCAGATAGTCCCAGATAAAAATGCTTTTTAACACAACCCCCCCCCCCTTCCGCCAGGAACCATGCCCAACTCTCTACCTCCGCCGACCCGAATCCAAAATGATTAATTCCACCTGCGAAACTTCAATACAAAACAGGAAAATTTCCTTAAGTCGGGGATGAAGCAAACGGTGGCCTGAAAGCTATTTATATCGGGCTTTTCTTGCTCAGATTTGTTCAAAGGGGATTGTTGCGGCCTTTCTCTTGGACTACTTACACAAGATGGTATATTACATCCTATTGTATTATATGCAATATGCTGCTGCCTTGGAGTCCAGTGGAGTCTCCCCGTTTGGAGATTATTGTCATGGTTGGTCCTGAAAAGATCCGTTTGTTTGTTTGCTTGCATGCTGCAAGTCATTTCCGGTGTGAGAAAATCAGCCGTCTACAAAGACATTGCCCAGGGGACACCTGGTTATGTTATGATCCTGCGGGGAGGCTTTTCTCATGTCCTCTCAGGAAAGTGTGCTTGCTCCATCAATGTTTAACATCTACACAAATCACCAGCCACTGCCAGAAAGGACAAAGAGTTTAATCTATGCTGACGATCGTGCCATCACCGCCCAAACAGGGAGCTTTGAAATGGTTCAACAGAAGCTCTCCGAAGCTTTAGGTGCTCTTACTGCCTGTTACAGGGAAAACCAGTTTTCTCCATCAATGTTTAACATCTACACAAATGACCAGCCACTGTCAGAAGGGACAGAGAGTTTCATCTATGATGATGATCGTGCCATCACCACCCAAGGAGGGAGCTTTGAAATGTTTCAACAGAAGCTCTCCAAAGCTTTAGGTGCTCTTACTGCCTCTTGCAGGGAAAACCAGCTTGCTCCATCAATGCTTAACATCTACAGAAATGACCAGCCACTGCCAGAAGAGACAGAGAGTTTCATCTATGCTGACGATGGTATCATCACTGCTCAAAAGAGAGAAGAAAGAAAAGACAAAATGGAAGGAAGGAAGACGAAAGAGGGAGAGGGGGAAAGAGGAAGGAAAGAACGAGAGAAGGAGGGAGGGAGAAAGAGGGAGGTAAGGAAGGGAGGGAGTGAGGGAGGAGGAAGGAAAGAGAGACAGATGAAACTCTCTGTCCCTTCAGGCAGTGGCTGGTCATTTGTGTAGATATTAAACATTGATGGTGCAAGCTGGTTTTCCCTGGAATATGCAGTAAGAGCACCTAAAGCTTCAGAGAGATTCTGTTCAACCATTTCAAAGCTCCCTTCTTGAGCGGTGATGGCATGATCGTCAGCGTAGATGAAAACTCCTTCTCTCTTCTGGCAGCGACTAGTCATTTGTGTAAATGTTAAACAATGATGGAGCAAGACCACTCACCAAAGGCAGGCCGTTCTTCTGTTTTCACCATCTACTTCTCTGGCCCTGCAACTCAACAAAAAAGCTCCTGTTTTGTAGAAGATCTCCTATGAAGCGGCTGAGCATATGGAATATTGTTTGTTTTGTTTACTGCTTGTTATTTTATTATTGCTTGTTGTTTTTGATGTACTGTTGGGTTTGGCCTCATGTAAGCCACTCCGAGTCCCTTGGGGAGATGGTGGCAGGGTATAAATAAAGTATTATTATTATTATTATTATTATTATTATTATTATTATTATATGCTGCTACCTTGTGGTTCATCAGAGTCTCCTCATTTGGAGGTTTTGAAGCAGAGGTTAGATGGCTATCTATCAGAAGTGTTTGGATTTTGTATTCCTCCCTGGCAGAAAAGGATTGAGAACGATGTGGCCTTTGGGATCCCTTCTAATTCTACGAATCTACGATGGCATGACTTCCAAGACACACAACATCTATTAAAGCATGTTCTTTGCCCACTTTCAATTGTCAAATTTTCCCACACACACCCGTCCATAAGAAGAACAACCATGTGTTCACAGTATTTAATAAACTTTTATTTTTATTGGTTTTTTTTTTAAAAAACGATAACTGATCATCTACAATCAATAGTGGGGGGAGAAGAGTGGAAAAGGTTCAAAAGCTACACAATATTGACTCACCAAGAGGTGGAAACCAGGGTCAGAGGAAAAGATGGTTGGTGGAAGAGACCCAAGTAGGAGTGAAGGATGTTGAAACAAGAAGAAGCCTGGCTCCGAAACACATTTATAGTCCTTTGTGCAATTTCAAAGTGTCCCTCTTGTGACAGTTCATTTCCCAAAAAAGAGGAGGAAGGTTGCGGCGTTCTCCCCAAATCTGATCTTGGCACCACTTGTGTGCTTTCAAAAAAAAAAAAAAAATCGAGGCTATAATAAGTTTCCCACAGCAGCATTTCTTAAAAAACATAGACCCAAACACAGCTCTCTTCCATACAAAAAGACAATATATATATATATATTAACATTTCCTAACAAATAAGCTCACTTGTACCTATATAGAGAACACACCCTACACAAATCCGGTGAGGCCATTAGAGAGAAATTGGTGTTTTCCCCATCCCGTAAGAAAACTATGTGCAAAATATACCCCGTGGTGGAGGGAGCTTAGAAGGTTGTGAATTTGACTAAATTAATGGCAACACACTCCTCTCCTTGGATAAATTTGCTCTTCTAGAGTGACAATGCAGCACATTTATGGATCGAGCCCTAAAGGTTTCGTCTCCGCGATACCCAACGGAGGCAAATTCATGGATAGAACCCAAAAGGTTTCTTATCCGCGGTACCCAACAGAGGCACATTCATGGATCGAGCCCTAAAGGTTTTGTATCCGCGGTACCCAACGAAGGCACATTCACAAATCGAGCCCTAAAGGTTTCGTATCCGCGGTACCCAACGGAGGCACATTCACGAATCGAGCCCTAAAGGTTTCGTATCCTCGGTACCCAACGGAGGCACATTCACGAATCGAGCCCTAAAGGTTTCGTATCCTCGGTACCCAACGGAGGCACATTCATGGATCGAGCCCTAAAGGTTTCGTCTCCGCGGTACCCAATGGGGGCACATTCATGGATCGAGCCCTAAAGGTTTCGTCTCCGCGGTACCCAACGGAGGCACATTCATGGATCAAGCCCAAGAGGTTTCGTCTCCACGGTACCCAATGGGGGCAAATTCATGGATCGAGCCCTAAAGGTTTTGTATCCGCAGTACCCAACGGAGGCACATTCATGGATCGAGCCCTAAAGGTTTTGTATCTGTGGTACTCAACGGAGGCACATTAATGGATCAAGCCCTAAAGGTTTCGTATCTGCGGTACTCAACAGAGGCACATGCATGCATCAAGCCTTAAAGGTTTCGTATCCACTGTACCCAACGGAGGCACATTCATGAATCGAGCCCTAAAGGTTTCGTATCCGCGGTACCCAAAGGAGGCACATTCATGGATCGAGTCCTAAAGGTTTAGTATCCGCGGTACCCAACGGAGGCACATGCATGCATCGAGCCTTAAAGGTTCCGTATCCGCGGTACCCAACGGAGGCACATGCATGCATCGAGCCTTAAAGGTTCCGTATCCGCGGTACCCAACGGAGGCACATTTATGGATCGAGCCCTAAAGGTTTCGTATCCGCGGTACCCAACGGAGGAGTGTTTCCAAAGGACATCCTATCAATTCAGAGGAAACCATGGCTCAGGCATCTTTTTCAGCCCTTTTCCAAGGATCCAGATGCATGGCATATTTTCCAATTTGGATAGTTAAAATGTGAGCCAGAAGAATGCAGAGGAGGCGAAAACCATGAATTCTACAACTCTATAATATATTGGAAGGCTGTCTTTAAAATTGGGGAGAAAGACAAGGGCCAACCCAAGGCTGAAACTTGGGTACAAGACCAATGGCATGCTCCTTTGGATTACGAGGCCCATCATCCTCCACGGCTAGGATTGCTGGGTGTTACAGCGCAGAAGCCCCTTTTAACCGCGGTACCCAACGGAGGAGTGTTTCCAAAGGACTTCCTATAAATTCAGAGACTTGGGTACAAGACCAATGGCACATGCCTTTGGATTACAAGGCCCATCATCCTCCATGGCCAGGATTGCTGGGTGTTACAGTGCAGCAAAAATATATGCCAGATAACTCCAGGTAAAATCAGCCTAGAAGAGCAAATTGCTAGAGGAGGAAAGCTCCTTACTCCCAAACTTGGGGTGCCATTCTAAGCTCACCCCCCACATTATAACCCCCCTTTCATCACCCCAGACAGGTTCAAGTGAATACCCAGAAAGATGAGTTATTTTGAGACTCCAAGCATCTCCAAGCTTCTGATGAGTGGTGATGGTCTCATACCCATTCGGAGAAGGCATGGTTAATATCGGACACCTGGTAGGGTCTTTTGGCTGCTTATTCCAGTATCGTCTAACACACAAGTCTATAGGAAGAGATATCTTTTCGGGGCATTTTTTGTAATCCTTCGTATTGTGGCGAACGCAGGATCACATATCCGTAGCCTCAACTTCTCCAAAGGATGTTCTCCTTTCCAAAGCAATGGCATTACGCAGATCAATCTGGCAGAAGAATCAGAGAACCCAAATCTCCAGAAAAGGTGGGTAAACAAACCGGACAGGGAACGTATCAAGGCCAGTATCTCAACGACATGGCACCAATTTCAGATCTCCAATTAGAAAAGTCTGCGTAGAAACATGGAAAGCAACGTAAAACCTCGTCCAAAGGTGCTCCCATCGCCGACTGGTCCTTCCCACCCGCATTTTGCTTCTAGCCCCAAAATGGACGTCATTGGTAGAGAAGGTAACTCTTGAGAGATTCCGGCAGCGGAAGGTCCTGGATCTCGTTCAACCGAGATTTGCCCAAAGTAAGGCGCACAGTTCGCCGACAAAGGTCCATGAGAGGCAAGGGTTCGGCTGCAGGAAGAGAAGACGAAAACACATACCGTTAGCTACAGAACCGGCAATGGGGCTGGACTAGATGACCTTTGAAGTGCCTGCAATATTTATTTATTTATTTACAACATTGATATGCCGCCCTTCTCACCCCAAAGGGCTCAGAGCGGCCGACAAGTAATATGTAAATACAATATATTATATTCCCATAGCACAATGTTAGTATTATATATTACCAGATTGTACTATACCGTTATACTGTATTATTATTAGTATTGTACTGTATTACATTATAATATTATCAATATTATATGTATATACAATATATTATATTACTATATTGTTATATCATATCTATATAAATAAAAATGTAATGTTCGTTTGTGGGATTAACATAACTCAAAAATCCCTGGATGAAGTGACACCAAATTTGAACACAAGACACCTCTCAGGCCAACGAGTGACCATCACTCATAAAAACAACGAAAAACACAGCAGAAGGGACTTGAAAAGCCGAAAAACAAAAAATTACATGCACGCACAAAACCACAGATATACACAGACATATATGCACACATATATGCACACACAAAACACACACAGTAAAGGGGAAGGAAGGAAGGAAGGAAGGAAGGAAGGAAGGAAGGAAGGAAGGAAGGAAGGAAGAGAGAAAGAGAGAAGAAGGAGAGAGGAAGGAAAAAAGGGAAGGAGGAGAAGAAGGAAAAGAAGGGTAGAGAAGAGAAGAAGGAAGAAAGGGAGAGAAGAGAGAGAAAGAAAGGGAGAAAGGAAGGAAAAAGGAGGGAAGGAGAAAAAGAAGGAAATGAAGGGTAGGAAGGAAGGAAGAGGAAGGAAAAAAAGGGACAGAAGGAGAGAAGAAAGAAGGAGGAAGGAAGAGAAAAAGGAAGGAAGGAAAAAGAAGGAAATGAAGGGAGGGAAGGAAGAGGTAGAGAAGGAAGGAGAGAAAAGGGAAGGAGAGAGGAAAGGAGAAAAAGAAGGAAATGAAGGATAGAGAAGGAAAGAAGGAGAGAAGGAAGGAGAGAAAAAGGGACAGAAGGAGAGAAGGAAAGGAAGGTAGAGAAGGAAGGAGAAAAAGAAGGAGGGAAGGAGAAAAAGAAGGAAATGAAGGGTAGGGAAGGAAGGAAGGAGAGAAGGAAGGAGAGAAAAAGGGACAGAAGGAAAGGAAGGTAGAGAAGGAAGGAGAAAAAGAAGGAGGGAAGGAGAAAAAGAAGGAAATGAAGGGTAGGGAAGGAAGGAAGGAGAGAAGGAAGGAGAGAAAAAGGGACAGAAGGAAAGGAAGGTAGAGAAGGAAGGAGAAAAAGAAGGAGGGAAGGAGAAAAAGAAGGAAATGAAGGATAGAGAAGGAAAGAAGGAGAGAAGGAAGGAGAGAAAAAGGGACAGAAGGAGAGAAGGAAAGGAAGGTAGAGAAGGAAGGAGAAAAGGGAGGGAAGGAGAAAAAGAAGGAAATGAAGGGTAGGGAAGGAAGGAAGGAGAGAAGGAAGGAGAGAAAAAGGGACAGAAGGAAAGGAAGGTAGAGAAGGAAGGAGAAAAAGAAGGAGGGAAGGAGAAAAAGAAGGAAATGAAGGGTAGAGAAGGAAGGAGAGAAGGAAGAGAGAAGGGAAAAGAGAAGAAGGAGAGAAGGATGGGAAAAGGAGGGAAAGGAGAAAAAGAGAAAAGAGAGAAGGAGGAAGAAGGAGAGAAGGAAGGAAGAAAGGGAAGAAAGGAGAGAAGGAAAGGAAGGTAGAGAAGGAAGGAGAAAAAGAAGGAGGGAAGGAGAAAAAGAAGGAAATGAAGGGTAGGGAAGGAAGGAAGGAGAGAAGGAAGGAGAGAAAAAGGGACAGAAGGAGAGAAGGAAAGGAAGGTAGAGAAGGAAGGAGAAAAAGAAGGAGGGAAGGAGAAAAAGAAGGAAATGAAGGGTAGGGAAGGAAGGAGAGAAGGAAGGAGAGAAAAAGGGACAGAAGGAGAGAAGGAAAGGAAGGTAGAGAAGGAAGGAGAAAAAGAAGGAGGGAAGGAGAAAAAGAAGGAAATGAAGGGTAGGGAAGGAAGGAGAGAAGGAAGGAGAGAAAAAGGGACAGAAGGAGAGAAGGAAAGGAAGGTAGAGAAGGAAGGAGAAAAAGAAGGAGGGAAGGAGAAAAAGAAGGAAATGAAGGGTAGGGAAGGAAGGAAGGAGAGAAGGAAGGAGAGAAAAAGGGACAGAAGGAGAGAAGGAAAGGAAGGTAGAGAAGGAAGGAGAAAAAGAAGGAGGGAAGGAGAAAAAGAAGGAAATGAAGGATAGGGGGAAAAAGGAGAGAAGGAAAGAAAGAAAGGCAGAGAAGGAAGGAAGAAGAGAAGGAAGGAGAAAAAGGCATAGCCCTCCTCTGCTATGATTAGCTGTCCACTCAGCCAAGAGGAGGGCTGTTTCTGAGACTCCAAGCGGGGAGAGCAGGCATGCTCGATAGCAGCGTGGTGCACATGTGTGGGCAAGGGAGAGCGTGCGAGGCTGGAAGGAGGCTCGTGCCAGCGTGTCCCTTCAAGGCATGGGGGTTCTGTGTGGGAGGTTTGGCCCAATTCAATAATAGATGAATGCCCTTTGATTGTAGGTGAACTATAAATCCCAGTAACTACAACTCACAAATGACAAACTCAAACTGCTGCCCCGAACTCCAGCAGTATTCAAATATGGGCGTATCGGGTATTTGTGCCAAATTTGGTCCAGTGAATGGAAAATAAATCCTGCATATCCAATATTTACATTACGATTCATAACAGGAGCAAAATGACATTTAGGAAGTAGGAACGAAAATAATATTGTGTTCAATTCTGGGCACCACAATTCAAGAGAGATATGGACAAGCTGGAATGTGTCCAGAGGAGGGCGACTAAAATGATCAAGGGTCTGGAGAACAAGCCCTATGAGGAGCGGCTTAAGGAGCTGGGCATGTTTAGCCTGAAGAAGAGAAGGATGAGAGGAGATATGATAGCCATGTATAAATATGTGAGAGGAAGCCACAGGGAGGAGGAGGGAGCAAACTTGTTTTCTGCTTCCCTGGAGACTAGGACGCGAAACAATGGCTTCAAACTACAAGAGAGGAGATTCCATCTGAACACGAGGAAGAACTTCCTGACTGTGAGAGCCATTCAGCAGTGGAACTCTCTGCCCTGGAGGGAGTGTGGTGGAGGCTCCTTCTTTGGAAGCTTTTAAACAGAGGCTGGATGGCCATCTGTCAGGGGTGATTTGAATGCAATATTCCTGCTTCTTGGCAGAATGGGGTTGGACTGGATGGCCCATGAGGTCTCTTCCAACTCTTTGATTCTATGATTCTATGATTTCCAAAAACCAAAACCCTGCCAAGGTCTGAAAGAGCGTAAATAGGTCAATCTACACAAACCAGATCAAAAGCTGATACCGTGTCGAACACACATTCCCCTGACGGCAGAACATCAACCAGTTAACAACTCCGATTCCCATTATTTGCTCAAAGCTCTGGCTGGCCAAACCAAACCAAGCCAGCTTGTTTGGCCTTCTCCTTGTTTGTCATGCGGTTTTGCTTGCGGAGATAATATATCTGAACTAAACAAAGATGCCATTGTAGGCTTCCGTACCAGCACATCGGCTCAATTCCCAATGCCGGTTGGAATATTATGGTTGAGGGAAAGAGACGATTTCATGTGACTACACGAAACTGTGGACAGCTGCAAACGCCAATGAAATGAAGGATCACGCAGTCGTACTGGAGGACCAAGGGCAGACATGGGCAAACTTCAGGCCTCCAGGTGTTTTGGACTTCAACTCCCAGAATTCCTAACATCCTGCTGGAATTTATAGTTCACCTACAATCAAAGAGCATTCTGAACCCCACCAATGATGGAATTGAACCAAACTTGGCACACAGGACTCCCATGACCAACAGAAAATACTGGAACGGTTTGGTGGGCATTGATCTTGAGTTTGGGAGTTGTAGTTCACCTACATCCAGAGAGCACTGTGGACTCAAACAATGATGGATCTGGACCAAACTTGCACAAGCACTCAATACACCCAAATATGAACACTGGTGGAGTTTGGGGAAAATAAACCTTGACATTTGGGAGTTGTAGTTGCTGGGATTTATAGTTCACCTGCGGTCAAAGAGCATTCTGAACCCCACCAATGATTGAATTGGGCCAGACTTCCCATGCAGAACCCCCATGCTTGAAGGGACTCGCTCACGATCCTCCCTCCGGCCTGCATGCTCTCCCTCCACCATGCACGCACTCCATACTGCCATGCATGGAGTAAGCCTGCTCTCCCCTCCCTACTTGGGAGTCTCAAAAGCAGCCCTCCCCTTGACTGAGAGGCCAGTCGACAGCGCAGTAGGGAGGGCTTTTGGTGGGAGGATTCACCAAGCATGCCTGCTCTCCCCTCCCCATTCTGAATTTCAGAAACAGCCCTCTCCTTGGCTGCCATGCATGGAGCATGCCTGCTCTCCCCACCCCTGCTTGGAGTCTCAAAAAGAGCCCTCCCCTTGGCTGAGAGGCCGGCCAATCACAGCGCAGCAGGGAGGGCGTTCAGTGGGGGAGTCAACGTTCGCTCTGCTCCCCTCCCTCCCCATTCTGAGTTTCAGAAACAGCCCTCCCCTTGGCTGCCATGCATGGAGCACGCCTGCTCTCCCCTCCTGCTTGGAGTCTCAGAAACAGCCCTCCCCTTGGCTGAGAGGCCGGCCAATCACAGCGCAGTAGGGAGGGCGTTCAGTGGGGGAGTCAACGTTCACGCCTGCTCTCCACTCCCCATTCTGAGTTTCAGAAACAGCCCTCCCCTTGGCTGCCATGCATGGAGCACGCCTGCTCTCCCCTCCTGCTTGGAGTCTCAAAAACAGCCCTCCCCTTGCTGAGAGGCCGGCCAATAACAGCGCAGTAGGGAGGGCGTTCAGTGGGGGGATTCAACTTTCACGCCTGCTCTCCACTCCCCATTCTGAGTTTCAGAAACAGCCCTCCCCTTGGTTGCCATGCATGGAGCACGCCTGCTCTCCCCTCCTGCTTGGAGTCTCAAAAACAGCCCTCCCCTT